GCATTGCCGCCAGTCAGTGCAACCCAGCAGTGCCGCCAGTCAGTGCCCAATAGTGCCACCCACCTGTGCCCATCAGTGCCACCCACCTGTGCCCATCATTGCTGCCCAGCAGTGCCGCCAATCAGTGCCCAACTGTGCCACCCACCTGTGCCAATCAGTGCCACCCACCTGTGCCCATCAGTGCCCACCAGTGCAGCCCAGCAGTGCATCCAGTCAGTGCCGCCTATCAGTGCCCATCAGCGCAGCCACATCAACGCACATCAGTGAAGGAAAAAATTACCTGTTTGCAAAATTTTATTTTATAAAGAATTTTATTTTATAAAGAAACTTTTTAATTTTTTTAAATTTTTTGCTTTTTCGTTTATAGTGCAAAAAGTAAAACCCGCAGAGTCGACTAAATACCACCAAAAGGAAGTTCTATTTGTGTGAAAAAAATATAAAAATTTCATATAAGTACAATGTTGCATGACCGCGCAATTGTCATTCAAAGTGTGACAGCGCTGAAAGTTGAAAATTGGCCTGGGCAGGAAGGGGGTATAAGTGGCCCGGTAGGCAAGTGGTTAATAGCAAAAAGTCATAAATATATATTTTTCAAACTTGTCGGTCTTTTTTTGTTTATAGAGCCAAAAAATTTAAAAACCGCACAAGCGATCAAATACCACCAAAAGAAAGCTCTATTTGTGGGGGAAAGGGTTTGGTTAGCTAAGAATACCCCTCCTCCTCTTCTGAAGACATCTGGGATGTATTACATCATTTGATTAGACATAGAAACCAGGAAGTAAGTGAAGAAATGTAAAAAAAAAAAAAGTTTAAAACAAGTAAATATGATATACTTTCCTATCCATTTACTAATGCAGCATAAGGATTCAGAATAGTCTGTATTGATTGAGAGAGTGAAGGTCCGCTTTAAGCTCTTCCTTGGCACCACTGAAAGCATGGGACTGCCCCCCTTAACCTGACCATACACGTATAGATTTTCATTGGAGAATTTTCATTTCAAGAATATTTGTTTGATTTTTTAATCGTTAGTGGGGTCAAATCGATGTTTGTTTTCAACCGCAGTGATGAGAAAATTCGAAGAGGCGGGAAGGAAAAGTTTTCTCGATCAAGCAAGTTTTGGGCCAGTATATGTAGTTATCGTTCACAATTTACATTCATTTTAAAGTCGAATGTTAAAAACAAAAGACGATTTTCAAACGACATTCATCGAATGTTCAAAGAATTTTCGGACGACTTTTCGTATTTATATTCTCATCTGAAAATCTACACGTGTATGGCCAGCCTTACTTTGCCCTTGTTTACCCATTCGTGTCAACTTCTGTACTTGGTTATTCAATGTAATGATTTTATTAACCCTGTTAAAATTCTTCAATAAAAATTATTTGGAAAGAAAAATTGGGTTTAGTTCTGCTTTAACCCCTTCCCACCGACGTCACATAAATATGCGGCCTCAGAACTGGGCTTTTTTTCTGTGTGTCTGCATATATGCGTACCTGTCTGTGTGCTGGGAGTGCGCCGCACTGTGTGCTCTCAGCACAAAGACCGGGGTGTCACCGTGAGCCCCGTGTTCCATTCTAACGATCCGGAGCCAGGACTCCCGATTCCGGGTCACATGATTGCTGTGATAGCCTCTGATTGGCTATCACAGTGATCAGTCACTGTGAAGTCCACCCCCTTTGTTTTTTTTTTTTCTCTGAATAGAGATACATTGTAGCTCTCCATCTTGCAGAGAGAAAAAAAAAAACAAAACTGTTTGTAAAATAAATAAATAAAAATATTTAAAAATAAAATAAAAAATAAAGAAAAAATACCTAAATCAAGGTTTGATCTAGTTCAGTGCCAGGGTTAATGTTTGGGTCAGGGTCAAAGGTCAGCATTTTTTTTTTTAAGTTGTATCAGTGTCAGTTAGTGTCAGTGTGTTTTAGGTGAAGAAACAAAATGCGCACTATTGTTTCTGGGCTGTAGTACATGTTCAAATAACATACACATATGGTATCGCTGCGATCGTCAAGAGCTGGAGAATTTATTTTGGGTTGTTCTTTGGTGGTAAGAAACTCACAGCTAAATTTAAAAAAAAAGATTTTTTTTTTACTATTTTGAGCCAGTTTTCCTTTGTTAGTAATAAAAAAAAATCAGTACAGTTGCAAGAAAAAGTATGTGAACCCCTTGGGATTACGTGGAGTTTTGCATGAATTGGGCATAAAATGTGCTCTGAACGTCATCTAAGTCACAATAATAGAAGAACACAGTCTGCTGAACATAATACTACACAAACATTAGATGTTACCATGCTTTAATTGCACATAACATGTAAACATTCACAGTGCAGGGAGGAAAAAGTATGTGAACCTTTGGACTTAATAACTGGTTGACCCTCCTTTGGCAGCAATAACCTCAACCAAACGTTTCCTGTAGTTGCAGATCAGACCTGCACAACGATCTGGAGTAATTTTGGACCACTCCTCTTCACAAAACTGTTTCAGTGTAGCAATATTCTTGGGATGTCTGGTGTGAATCGCTCTCTTAAGGTCATGCCACAGCATTTCAATCGGGTTGAGGTCAGGACTCTGACTGGGCCACTCCAGAAGGCGTATTCTGTGCTGTTGCAGCCATTGTTTTGTTGAATTACTTGTATGCTTTGGGTCATTGTCCTGTTGCATCACCCATCCTCTGCGGAGCTTCAGTTGGCGGACAGATGGTCGTACGTTTTATGTCTTGATAAACTCTGGAATTCATTTTCCCATCAATGACAACAATCCGTCCAGGCCCTGAGGCAGCAAAGCAGCCCCAAACCATGCTGCTCCCTCCGCCATGTTTTACAGTGGGGATGAGGTTTTGATGTTGGTGTGCTGTGCCTTTTTTTCTCCACACATAGTGTTGTGTGTTCTTCCCAAACAACTCAATCTTGGTTTCATCTGTCCACAGTATATTTTGCCAGTAGTGCTGTGGAACATCCAGGTGCTCTTTTGCAAACTTCAAACGTGCTGCAATATTCTTTTTGGACAGCAATGGCTTCCTCCGTGGTGTCCTCCCATGTACTCCATTCTTGTTTAATGTTTTCCTTATTGTAGATGTGTCAACAAAAATGTTTGCATGTGCCAGAGATTTCTGTAGGTCTTTAGCTGACACTCTGGGATTCTTCTTTACCTCATGCAGCATTCTGCGCTGTGTTCTTGCAGTCATTTTTACAGGACGACCATGCCTAGGGAGAGTAGCAACAGTGCTAAACTTTCTCCATTTGTAGACAGTCTGTCTTACCGTGGGCACATGAACATCAAGGCTTTTGGAGATTTTTTGTAACCCTTTCCAGCTTCATGCAAGTCAACAATTCTTGATCGTAGGTCTTCTGAGAGCTCTTTTCTGCGAGGCATGGTTCACATCAGACAGTGCTTCTTGAAACCAGTAAACACAAAACAGGTGTGTGTTTTTTAAGGTCAGGACAGCTGTGAGCAACACATCCAATATCATCACACTGATTGGAGTCAAGGTTGGCTCACTCCTGGCTCCAATTAGCTCTGGGAGAAGTCATTAAGCTAGGGCCTCACATACTTTTTCCTCCCTGCACTCTGAATGTTTACATGTTATGTGCAATTAAAGCATGGCAACATCTAATGTTTGTGTAGTATTATGTTCAGCAGACTGTGTTCTTCTATTGTTGTGACTTAGATGACATTCAGAGCACATTTTATGCCCAATTCATGCAAAACTCCACGTAATCCCAAGGGGTTCACATACTTTTTCTTGCAACTGTAGATAGCCATTACCATTTACCACCAAATGAAAGCCCAATTTGTCCTGAAAAAAACGCGGTATAATCCACCTGGATGTACAAAGCAGTTGTGATGATATGTATGGTTTTACTAACACATGTCAACATTGTAAATTTTTATTAGGCTTTAAAATTTGTTTTACCCTTAGGCATGAAGGGGTTAAACAGTTGCGGTGGACCATGCCACACTCCTGCAGTTTGCATCTACATGATAAACTTTTGTTCCTCTTCTGCTTAGGTTTCTTGTTCCTTTCTTTAGCTTCAAAGTAGACAGGAGAACTTCCATTTATTTTTAATATTTAATTTTTAGTATTCCATTTTGTGATTTTTTTTTTTTTTAATTTGCCTTACCAACCCAACTATAAGACATGCAACATATCATGAACACTTCAGAAAAGACATAATAAAAATTAACAAAGATTAAAGGAATACTGAAGCCATATGTCAGCAAAAGAGCAAGAAATTCTGGAGGATAGAAAAAAAAAAACAAGGTGTGGATGGCATTTTACAATTCCTTTTATTACTCCTTGAACAAATGGGAATGGAGGAGCCACCTTACCCTCTAGTTAAAGGGGTACAGGAGGAAGCCCAATAAGGGGATACCACTGGAGATGATGCAGGAATATCCGGCACAGATAAGGCCTAAGGGAACAACACAATGAGTGGGATTATATCTTCTGGCTAGTCCTGAAACCCTTGGTGGTAGGCTTGTTAAAGGGAAGCATCTTTCAGACAATTACAACCAACACAACAAAACCAACAAAGTGCCAACAGATTCCTCTTCTCCATAAAAAAATAACATCTTACAGTTTGTGGTTGGTGTATCCCTAAAAAAAAATTCCTTTCAATATTCTTCCCAATATCTCACTTTAGGGACGTGGCACTGCTTAAAAAGTCCATTCAATATTCTTCTTCCCAATATCCCTTTGTAAGCCAAGAAAGCTAGAAGGGTGGGCCTGCAAGAAGTGAGACTGGACCAATGGTGGTCTCTTCAGAAGAACACTGAAAAATTCTAAAAAAAAAAAACCAAAAAAAACGATTCCTTTGAATTTTATATAGAACCAATATATTTACACTGTCTTCATGTTGGTATCATGATGAAAATTGTTTTCTACAGCTTGTGGAATGGTTTGGCTTTTTTAGCATCGGAATGTTCCTTGAATTATGTACACTGGGCACTTTGTGTTGTCTTTGGTGTGGCTCATATAAATCCACGTGTAGACCAGAAGCTTTATTTTAAGTTTGGTTTGTCAGCTAAGTCTCCTTTTGACTTCGGTTCTGTCCACCACTCAGCAAAAATCCCTTCCTCATAGTCTCCTTCCCCTTCAAATTCTGTATCAGATGGGGTTGGTCCTGTGTCCTGGACCGCTCCGACTTCAATCTGTAATATATAAATGTACACATTTTAGAACATTGGTACATGCATTGAAATTTCAGGGGAACTATCGCTGGGCAGGATGGGAGGTGAGGCATCTGCCTAAGGACTCATGTAGACAGCCTTTAACCACTTCCCGTCCGGCCCATGTATATAAATGGCTGGACGGGGGCAGTGCAGGAGCGGGTTGCCGTTCATAAACGGTGCCCGCCATTTTGGACTGTGTGCGCTCCCTGGGAACGTGCGGCACCGTGATCCGGTGTCCGCTGTGTCTGGACAACACAGCAGAACACAGAACGCTGTACGGGACCTCTGTGTGAGGTCCCGATCATGTGATCACTGATTGGCCAAATCAGTGATAGCATGACTAGTAGTAAGCAAGATGTCACTTCTGAAATCATTGCTTACTACGTGTGAAATCTGTGAATGATCACAGAGGTCACATGGTACAAGGCTAATCATAACAGCCTTGTACCATGTGACAAGCTGTGACCAATCACAGCTCTCACAGTATTTCTCAATGGCTGCAAGAATGCAGCCAGAGAGAAGGAGAAATGATTGCTTTTACAGCCTTTATGGGTGTAAAAGCAATCAGTGTAAAAAAAAAAAAAATCTTCATCACCCCCCACAAGTAGTACAGTGTCACCATGGTGACACTGTACTTGTAGGATGACAGTATGTAAAAAAAAACCAAAACATAATAATATAAAAAAAAAATAAATAAAAGTAGTACAGTGTCACTGTGGTAGGGTGATAGTATGTTAAAAAAAAAAAGAAAAAACATTAATAATATAAAAAAATAAAATAAAAATGTAAAAATAATTTTCTGAAAAATTATAATTTTTGGTTATAAACTAATATGGGTTATTTATTTTTTTTTACTAAAAAGATAACTGAATACATTTTGGCCAAGATTTATATAGAAAGATTATTTATTTGCAAAATTGTATAAGAAAAACACTTTTTTCAACATTTTTGGACTTTTTCATTTATATAGCAAAAAAAGAAAAAAAAACTCCAGTGGTGAATAAATACCACCAACATAAAGTTTTATCTCTCTCAAAAAAATGCTAAAAAATTCATATGGGTACAGTGTTGCATGACCGCGCAATTGTCATTCAAAGTGTGACAACACTGAAAATTGAAAATTGCCTGGACGGGAAGGGGGGGTAAAAGCATCTTCACAGGCTGGTAGGTTAATTTGCTCCCATCTAAATTGGTCCTAGTATGTATGAATGTGAGTTAGGAACCTTAGATTTATATGTAGATTGTACACCCCTTGAGGGTTAGGGACTGATGTGAATGTACAATATATATGTAAAGCGCTGAGAAAATTGACGGCGCTATATAAGTACCTGAAATTAATTAAATAAATAAATAAATAATGTCCCTGGCAAAACACCAGGTTTACAAAAGGACCACTCCTTGTACAGTTTAATAATACATATAGTCAGTGTATTGTACAATGCACAATGGGGGTGCTACTCTGGCTGGGATAGGCACAGCTTGCTGTATATGGAGATTGGCTAGAATTTCAAACAGTCATCAACACCAGCCCTTAAAAAATAAATACATTTTTCAATAAAAAAAAACCCTTAAAAACCCAACCTATACTTTCTATTCCCCCCCCCCCCCCCCTTGACTTAACACAGAACAGCAGTGGCTTCCTCTGGTCCCCAGGTCCCAAATCATCTCAAGCTATGCCCATACGATGACACTCCATACACTGGAATGGCGCCATATTGGATTACAGCCCTATTCAAGTCTATGTAAAGTCATCGTGGATATGCAGCAGGTCTCAGGCCGAGAATGTAAATACCAGAGGAGGCAGCTATGGCCACTGAGAGGTAAGTGAGGTCTTTGTTGAGAGGTATCTAGATTAGATTAGGTTAGGGGGCTAAGGAAGGTGGGAGGCACATGTATCTGACACATCTGGTGTCTAAATGGGCATAGTTAGCTATCGACTACCTGAAATCAATGGTGGGCAGGCAAGGAAATCAATGGTGGACAGGCAAGGAAATCAATGGTGGGCAGGCAAGGAAATCAATAGTGGGCAGGCAAGGAAATCAATGGTGGGCAGGCAAGGAAATCAATGGTGGGCAGGCAAGGAAATCAATGGTGGGCAGGCAAGGAAATCAATGGTGGACAGGCAAGGAAATCAATGGTGGGCAGGCAAGGAAATCAATGGTGGACAGGCAAGGAAATCAATGGTGGGCAGGCAAGGAAATCAATGGTGGGCAGGCAAGGAAATCAATGGTGGGCAGGCAAGGAAATCAATGGTGGACAGGCAAGGAAATCAATGGTGGACAGGCAAGGAAATCAATGGTGGACAGGCAAGGAAATCAATGGTGGACAGGCAAGGAAGAGTGAGCAGTGGGACAAATGCCTGATTGCTAATCTTCTTCCTATGTTCAGCATTATTCCCCCTATACCAGGAGTCTCCAAACTATGGCCCTCCAGCTGTTGAAGTACTACAAGTCCCATCATGCCTCTGCCTCTGGGAGTCTTGCCTGTAGCTGTCAGAATCTTGAATGGCCTTATGGGACTTGCAGTTCCTCAAAACCTGGAGGGCCATAGTTTGGAGACCCCTGCCCTATACCCACCAGGGCTGTTTAACTAAAGCTGAACAGTATCCTCCCTACATTTACAATGGATGCTCAGTTATGTAGAATACTCATAATAAAGTGGTTGTAAACCTCCAACATGAAATATGAACAAAGCATATCCCTCTATAGTGTGTACTTCTCTCAGTTCAGAGCACTAAATATAATTTATGTCTTCTGCCTCATTCCTCTACTATCTGTATAAATCACTTCTGATAAGTGTTCCTGACACCAAGAGATAAAAAGAGAATGGAGCTCCAGCACACAGCCTGTGATTGGCAGCCTCAGCTCTGTTCCTATATGCTGTGTGAAGGGGTTGTGTCCCTTCCCTCCAATCAGCTCTCAGAGCTCTCTTCACTGATGTAACTTCAGCTCTCTACCCCCTGCTTTCTGAAAGCTCAAAAAATCTGTATAAATTCTGGACTTTAAATTGGCTATAGAAAAGAGATGGTTGCAGATAAACAGGTATGGCAGGGTTACGTAGGAGGATTTGTCTCATCTCTATGGCTAGTCACTTCACTTGGTATAAATAAGGATTTACAACCACTTTAAACTATTGCTTACTCAGTGAGTCCGCCAACTCCAGCATGGTCCTTGTGAAGCACTAAAATACAGTATACAGTGTAATTATGAATAACGAGGATTACTTTGCATAGTGCCAAACCTGTTTGTGGTCTTGTAAATGAAAAGGAGAATTACAGAACCACAAGAGCATCAATCTTTTTAACTGTAACAATAATGACATTGACTGAAGCCTTATTGTGGGTTGTCATTTACCCAAATGACACCGAGTTATTTAAACTTTTTACTAGTCTTACCAGCTGTCATGCAATTGCGTGTCATTTGAGTAGATGACAAGTCACCTTCAGGGTTCACACACACCGATGTAATATAAGCAACAATAAACACTACTAGAAACAATCACATTGTATAATATGCATGATAAGGGCACATTCAAATGGGCGCTCAGCCTTGTACAGTGTGCAGGGCCATTTGTTTAATTGTTGTACTAGTACTGAGCTGCATGCAGGCAGCATATAAAGTGAATGGATATGTGTCAGATGTATGGACCCACCTGCACAGCCAAAACTGACAGGTTGACAGGGACGGGTGCATGGCTCCTGATGCAAAGCCTGTGCATCCAGGTCCACGCGTCCATCCCTATGTACCTGTCAAACCTGTCCCACCTAAATGATAACATTGCAGCCAGACAGTATAGTACACTTGCCGCAGCAAATTTAAATTGGCCTGAAAAGTTTGACAGGAGGCATCGCCTGAGACGCCCAACAGCAGTCCAGCTGAGGTTTGGGCAACACAGCAACAACCATGAATAGGTCCAACAAGATCTGCCAGAAGCTCCAAAGCTGTCTGAAAGACCAATGCCCACATCTGAAACTGTATTGTAAGGAACCATAAACCAAGCGGAGACAGAAAGTGCAATTAAAATCACACCTTTAATGAAATGGCAAAAATAACACAGTTTAGGAACGTAGTCAAAAATAGAAGCCAGGGTTTGGAAGCCAGAGCGGGAAAACAGGCAAGCCGGAGTCAGGAAACCAGGAGTCAGTGTAGTCAGGAGCAAAAATCAGGAACATAAATCGGAAGAGAAGTCAGCCAGCACAGGAACACAGGCAGGAACACACTGGAGATCATAGACCACGCAAGGGCAAGGAGAAAATGAGGTGAACTGGTAAAATAGCAAAAAGGGCTGGCTGTAGGTTAGACTAATGAGGCAGGTAATGGTATCCAGGAGAGTCACTGTGGAGACGAGTGGGTTGTAATTAACCAACAGCTGAGCAGCTTGTGAGTACTGAAAGAAAAGAGCTGCTCATTTAGTAGCAGGAACCCAGCCCTGACATGGATGAAGCAAAGCCCCCCTACCAGACAGGGGGACCTGCCAACACTACTGGAGGGAGGGCACAGAAAATCAACCTGATGCTCAAGACCTGGACAGAGATGGCCACCGCTAGAGGGGAATGACTACAAACAAAAAAGAACACTGAAGATGATCTACCAGAACGCCATAAAACAGTTGGAATGACCACAAATTCCCATGCAGAAAAGAAAAGACCTTTTCCGAGCAGAGCTGAAGAAGATATCCATCCTCATAGGACACCTAGCAAGAAAATTAGAGCATGCTGGCCAGCAATTTTTTTTTTTGTTTGCCAGTAGCCAATCCTCTCCTGAATGGCTGTAAAACTCAACAGTGGACAAGAAAAACAAATTGTTTTTACATACATTTTCACAAGACTACTAGGCTAACCTTTCACTTTGTCCAATCAAGGATGAAGATAAAATTATCGCCATACTCAGAAGTACCAAGAGCTTCCAAAAGCTTTAGGCCCCTTTCCATGGGGCAGACTCCTCTTGCTCAGCAATCTGGCGATCTGTCTAGTGATACTCTGCTGAGCTGGTGGATGACAGGTCCATCCCGGCTCCACCTATGCAGAACAGACACAGACACAGTCTGGCTGTTCGTTTACACCCCAGTGCCCTCCAATCCATTCCACCCAGAGGGAGGGGAACTGATCCCCTTCCGTACGTTTTTGACGGATCGAATTGGAGGTAGGTGGGTATAAACAGACCATAAAGCCCATTTACACCTACTGCTCCATAGAGCAGAGTGAAGGGTCCAATCAGGTCCACGTGAAAAAACGGACAGGAGGACCAGATTGGAATACTTGCGTGAAAGTCTGGCTGGCCGATCAATGAACCTATTACAGTGCCCTTCAATCTGTTCCGCCCAGACGGAGGGGAACTGATCCCCTTTTGTACGTTTTTGATGGATCAAATTGGAGGTAGGTGTGTGTAGATGGACCATAAAGCCCATTTACACCTACTACTCCATAGAGCAGAGTGAAGGGTCCAATCAGGTCCACCTGAAAAATGGACAGGAGGACCAGATTGGAATACTCGCGTGAAAGTCTAGCTGGCCGATCAATGAACCTATTATAGTGCCCTTCAATCTGTTCCGCCCAGACGAAGGGGAACTGATCCCCTTCCATACGTTTCTGACGGATCAATTTGGAGGTAGGTGGGTGTAAACGGACCATAAAGCCCATTTACACCTACTGCTCCATAGAGCAGAGTGAAGGGTCCAATCAGGTCCACCTGAAAAACAGACAGGAGGACCAGATTGGAATACTCGCGTGAAAGTCTGGCTGGCCGATCAATGAACATATTACAGTGTCCTTCAATCCGTTCCGCCCAGATGAAGGGGAACTGATGATCCCCTTCCGTACGTTTTTGACGGATCGAATTGGAGGTAGGTGGGTGTAGATGGACCATAAAGCCCATTTACACTTACTGTTCCATAGAGCAGAGTGAAGGGTCCAATCAGGTCCACCTGAAAAATGGACAGGGGGACCAGATTGGAATACTCGCGTGAAAGTCTGGCTGGCCGATCAATGAACCTATTACAGTGCCCTTCAATCCGTTCTGCCCAGACGGAGGGGAACTGATCCCCTTCCGTACGTTTTTGGACGGATCAAATTGGAAGTAGGTGGGTGTAAACGGACCATAAAGCCCATTTACACCTACTGCTCCATAGAGCAGAGTGAAGGGTCCAATCAGGTCCACCTAAAAAACGGACTTGAGGACCAGATCGGAATGCTCACATGAAAGAGTCTGGCTGGCCGATCAATGAACCTATTACTTTGCATGGTTGTTATGAGAGATTCACTTTAATGCTACTTTCCAGCTTTTACCTCGTCATCATCCCGACGGAGAAAATCGTGAGCAAACTGCATCAGTTCCTTGTGGCGCACAGTCTGGTTGTGATAAATCAGGGCCTCCTGTAGGGGATAAATAGTGCCATCAAAAGTAAAAAACAAAATCTGGTCTGCAAGCTATGATCAGGTCAGTGACTGAGAAAATATCCTTTTCCCTTGTTGTTTATGTTCGCTATTTGCTAGCGTGTGCAAGTCTTTTTGCTTTGCTGTTACATAATTGACTTACTATTGTATATTGTTTGGTTCCAGTTTCCTTGTGTAGCTACATATATCCGGTCATCACAGCTGCAGACCCCAGACACTCAGCATCGCCCTAATGTGTCTTATTTTTTTTTTTCCTATGATCATCAGTTCCATCTAGTGGCCATAATGTGAAATTTTCCTGAAATATCTCCCTCTGGAAAATTCTGCATTATGGCCACAAGATGGGGCTGCTGATCATCCATATATTATACATATTATGGGGGTTATTTGTGAGGCACAGCAATTGTTTGGTATAAAAAGGACCCATGTGGGTGGGCCGGCTTACTGAGAACATTGTATTTCCTTCATGAATGATATCTGGAAGGGGAATAATTGCATTGTAGCTCATTCTAATTTCTACACCTCAGATTGTACAGTCCTTGAGGGTTAGGAACTGATGTGAATATACAATATATATGTAAAGCGCTGCGTAAATTGATGGCGCTATACAAGTACCTGTAATAAATAAATAATAAATAAAATAAATATCTATAAATCTCTAGATTTAAAATCCACATAAAATACTGATTTTTAAATATTTATTAAAAATAAACTCTCCAGTAACAACTCACTCAGAACATTACTTTTTTTTTTATAGAGAAGACCGATTAAAAAAAATCCCACACATTTCGACTGATATCATTGAGGGTTACCACAATGTGATGTGAATGTACAATATATATGTAAAGCGCTGCGTAAATTGATGGCGCTATATACGTACCTGAAATAAATAAATAATAAATAAAATAAATATCTATATATCTCTAGAGATTTAAAATGACAAACATATAAAAAATGTTACATCCACATAAAATACTGATTTTTAAATATTTATTAAAAATAAATTCTCCAACAACTTTTTTTTTATAGAGAAAACCGATTTAAAAAATCCCACACAGTTCGATTGATATCATTGAGGGTTACCTCAATGTGATGTGAATGTACAATATATATGTAAAGTGTGGTATAAATTGATGGCGCTATATAAGTACCTGAAATAAATATAAATAATTAATAAAATAAATATCAATAAATCTCTAGATTTAAAATGACAAACATAGAAAAATGTTACATCCACATAAAAATACTGATTTTTAAAATCTTTATTAAAAATAAATTCTCCAACAACTCTTTTTTTTTTATAGAGAAGACCGATTAAAAAAATCCCGCACAGTTCGATTGATATCATTGAGGGTTACCTCAATGTGATGTGAATGTACAATATATATGTAAAGTGTGGTATAAATTGATGGCGCTATATAAGTACCTGAAATAAATAAATAATTAATAAAATAAATATCTAAAAATCTCTAGATTTAAAATGACAAACATAGAAAAATGTTGCATCCACATAAAATACTGATTTTTAAATCTTTATTAAAAATAAATTCTCCAACAACAACTCTTTTTTTTTTTTTTTTTAATAGAGAGAGACCGATTAAAAAAATCCCACACATTTCGATTGATATCATTGAGGGTTACCTCTCTAGGATTGAAATCGGAGTCCTCCAGGTCCCACTTCTCCTTGTAGAACTTGTAATACGCCAGGTTTTGTTGCATCACCGTATCTGTAGGGTCAAACAGCATGTAGCTGGACACACACTGAACTGCGTTCTTCACATCATTAACTATGAAAAAAAAATTAGAATGAAAACAGCATTATTATTATTATTATTATACAGGATTTTATATAGCACCAACAGTTTGCGCAGCACTTTACAAATGAAGGTAGACTTTACAGTTACAATACAATTTGGTACAAGAGGAAACAGAGGGCCCTGCTTGTTACAGCTTACAATCTAGGAGGGTTGAGTGATGGTGGTGGATGAAATCTATATTGGAATCCTTTACATGCAATATGATAAGAACATGACAGCTCCAAGACAGGACAGAGGAGCAGTAAATAGGGTGCGACTTGGCATGCGATTTGCAAGTCAGTGTGAGGAATAGTGCCCCATCGTTGGTGACAGTGGGAGGAATAGTGCCCCATCGTTGGTGTCAGTGGGAGGAATAGTGTCCCCATCATTGGTGTCAGTGGGAGGAATAGTGCCCCATCGTTGGTCAGTGGGAGGAATAGTGCCCCATTGGTGTCAATAGTGTTCCATCATTGGTTTTGTCAGTGGGAGGAATGTGCCCATCATCATTGGTGTCAGTGGGAGGAATAGTGCCCCATCATTGGTATCAGTCGGGAGGATAGTGGGAGGAATAGTGCCCCATCATTGGTGTCAGTGGGGAGGAATAGTGCCCCATCATCAGTGGGTGTTATATGTGTCAGCTGGGTTAGTGGGAGGAATAGTGCCCCATCATTAGTATCATAGTGCCCCATCATTGGTATCATGTGGGAGGTATAGTGCTGTCAGTGGGAGGAATAGTGCCCCATCATTTGGTGTCAGTGGGAGGTCCAATGTTGGTGTTAGTGGGAGGAATCGTGCCCCATCAGTTGGCGTCAGTGGGAGGAATAGTGCCCCATCAGTGGGAGGAATAGTGCCCATCATTGGCGTCAGTGGGAGGAAAATAGTGCCCCATCATTGCTGTCAGTGGGAGGAATAGTGCCCCATCATTGGTAGTCAGTGGAGGAATAGTGTATCAGTGGGAGGAATAGTGCCCCATCATTGGTGTCAGTGGGAGGAATAGTGCCCCATTCCATCATTGGTGTCAGTGGGGAGGGAATAGGCTGTCAGTGGGAGGAATAGTGCCCCATCATTGGTGTCAGTGGGAGGAATGTGCCCCATCATTAGTGACAGTGGGGTGGAGGAATAGTGCCCCATCATTGGTGAAGTGGGAGGAATGCCCAATGTTTGGTGTGTTAGTGGGAGGAATAGTGCCCCATCATTGGTGTCAGTGGGGAGGAATAGTTATCCATCTGTTGGTGTCAGTGGGAGAGAATTTAGTGCCTTTTATCAAAAAAAGTGCCCCCATTGGTGTAAAGGTAAGGGATCTGGGGGCTGCAGTTTGGAGACCACTGCTCTATAATATACATTCTAGTACTTGGTAATATTCAGTAAATGACTTCATCTTCCCCATAATGGAGCCGCAGTAGTGCCCAGATCCACTGTAAGAAAACGACTGATCTGCCTGCCAAAGGTTACCATGGAGGTCTTTGGTCCGGTGACGTCACAGGTCCTCTTATCCACTTCTTCTTGGGCAGATCCTAAATTCTGCATTCATACCTAAGCTAATGGAAATATGGGCAGAAATGCACATTTGTACCCGTGCTTCTCAAGACGCACAGCGTGCTTGCATGATTTCTTAATGGCGCCCCAAACATAAGTTTATTACATAAATGACATTGTGGATATAGGAGCGCTCAGAAAAACCAGCTGCTGGAACACTTCAAGGGATCACTAAACCTCATAACAGGACATTGTACATATATATAGTGCAGCGCTGAAATGTGAAAAAATTAGTGTAAATTCATAGAGGTCTTTCTTGTGACATAAAACCAATATGTGCAGGTCTTCTCCTCATTAGGTGACTGGAAAATAGCAAGATTGCGCACTCACCGACCGCAATTTTAAAGCGCCCCATGATATAATCCAAAAGACCAGCCAGGTATGCAGCTCCAGAAACCACATGGATCCTCCCTCTCCAACACTGACATCCGCCTTGGGTGTAGCAATATCTCTAGATCCAGAAGCCCTCTTGCCTCAGATAGATAGACAGGGATCCCCCTTCTGGTTCCAGACACCCCAAGAATGGAAGATGTATATCTGCACCCTCCAACAGGAGAGTCAAGAAAAAAGGGGGAACGCCAATAGTGTGGTAGTTTCAAAACTTTATTGGAGCAATAATGCCTGGGTCATGTGCACATACACATCCATACACCATTAGCCAATAACGTCCATCCTCTGAAGAAGTGCTTTTTGCACGAAAGGCCTCAGGAGGAGCCAAGTAGCAAGTGTGACTTCCTGACCACTGAGACCACGAGGAGGTCCAGTGGTCTTTGTTTTTATACCATTGCCGGGTTAGTACAATTTCTTTTTCATACCTACCTGTCCGTTATTGGCTAATGGTGTATGGATGTGTATGTGCACATGACCCAGGCATTATTGCTCCAATAAAGTTTTGAAACTACCACACTATTGGCGTCCCCCCTTTTTTCTTGACTCTCCTGTTGGAGGGTGCAGATATACATCTTCCATTCTTGGGGTGTCTGGAACCAGAAGGGGGATCCCTGTCTATCTATCTGAGGCAAGAGGGCTTCTGGATCTAGAGATATTGCTACACCCAAGGCGGATGTCAGTGTTGGAGAGGGAGGATCCGTGTGGTTTCTGGAGCTGCATACCTGGCTGGTCTTTTGGATTATATCATACACAGGCGCATTTAAAATGTGCGGTCGGTGAGTGCGCAATCTTGCTATTTTCCAGTCACCTAATGAGGAGAAGACCTGCACATATTTGGTTTTATTGTCACAAGAAAGACTCTATGAATTTACACTAATTTTATCACATTTCAGCGCTGCACTATATATATGTACAATAAGTTTATACATAAACAATTGTGTGTTTTGTCATGCGTTTTCTGTGCAAAAAATGCGCATTGTCAAACGCACTTGGCTATGTGTCAAAAGTCGGTACTTCATTGGCCTGCTGGTCGCTGACAGGCAATTCAAGTCAATGTCGCAAAAAACATCTCACGTGGATACAGCCTAACCCCAGGTTCACACCTAATAGTTTCTGCAGCGTTTTGCAGAACGCAGTGCAGTCCATTTAACATGATTTCCTATGGGAGACGTTCACATCTCTACGTTTGCAGCCGGTGCATTTTTTGGAAAGGGTCAGGGACTTTTCTGAATGTAAAAAGCTGCGTTTTTGGTTCTATAGACTTCAATGGAAATGCGGCAGAAAAGCATTTTTACTGGGTTTTTGATGCATTTTGCATTTTAAATCTGCCCAGCAACAAGAAAAAAAAATGCAAAACTCATCAAAAATGCAACGCAGAAACAGCTCAAACGCAACCTGCTTAGGTGTGAATCTAGCCTTAGGGTGTAAATGTAGAATATCTGAATGTTAGGTTGGCTGCTTCTACACCATAGAGCTTCCATGATCACCTTGGGTTGTTGTTGGGATGAAGAAAGAGGAATTATATTGCCACACTGTCCAAACATAAGTTATTTATTTATTTCATGTACTTATATAGCGCCGTCAATTTACGCAGCACTTTACATATATATTGTACATTCACATCAGTCCCTAACCCTCAAGGGGTGTACAATCTAAGGTCCCTAACTTACATTCATACATACACATAATAGGGGCCAATTTAGACAGGAGCCAATTCACCTACCAGCATGTCTTTGGAGGGTGGGATGAAACTGGAGTACACCCGCACAGGCAGAACATGCAAACTCCAGGCAGGTGGTGCCATGGTTGGGATTCGAAGCACTGACCCTAGTACTGCCAGGCGGTGCTAACCACTTAGCCACTGTGCTGCATTTCCATTTGTAAAATGCACACAAAGGCAACGCATTTCAGGGGCTGTGTCTCCCTCTCAGAAACATGAACAGGGGTTGGCTTTGGGAACATTTTACCGTTGGAAAACACTTGTGTTTGAACTTGAATATTATGGTGTGGAACTTCAATTCCTAAATATTCATCTTCCATCCATGGCCAGCTTTAGCCTCACAGCGCACGGTCCGTGGTCATTACTTACGTTTGTAATAGGCAAACTGCAGGTAGTGGTACATGGTGGCCACAAACTTGTGAACCAAATATCCTCCAACATTGGGGGTCAGGCTAGGCTCACACTGCACTTTACATTCCAGGACATCGGTCAGATGATCTGAATGGAAGAGGACAACGAAGAAAGACACACATTTAATAGTTCAGTAATGGTTAGAACCCCATCAAGCTTACCTACTGCACCAGTTTTAACCGCTTTGCTGCCCTATAGCAGAAATACTGCTACAGGGCAGCAGGGCTGCGCAAAATCACACACACACACACATATATATATATATATATCTATATATATATATGTGTGATTTGCATACCCAAGTAGGGGGCATGCGTGCACCCTACCCGCGCTGCTATTGGCAGCCTCAGCTGTCGAACACCGGGTCCCAGCCGGTGGTTCCCTGCTGGCAGCTGGCGATCACCAAGTATCACTGACGGGGGAGAGGTCTGTATGTAAACAATACAGATCGCTCTCCTGTCAGCTCAAGAACACTACTTTGTATGGCTCTGCATAGCAGAGCCATACAAAGCAGCATGCTTTTACAGTAAAGCACACACTCCCAGCGCACAGTTAACCCTTTGATCGCCCCTCATGTTTAACCCCTTCATACCCAGTGCCATTAGGACTGTGTCAGTGCTTTTTATTAGCAGTGATCACTGTATTGGTGTTACTAGAGATGTTAGTTGACACTAGTTGGGGGGTGATGTCAAGGGGGACAGAGGACACTGCTACGGGAGGGAGCAGAGGAGACTGCTATGGGGGCAGAGGAGATTATAGTAGGAGGGGGGTAATGTGAAGGGGGGCAGGAAACTGCTATGGGGAGGTAGAGGACACTACTGTATGGGGGGCAGAGGACACTACTGTGGGGGAGGGGAGGGGGGAAACTACTGTGGGGGGCAAAGGACATTACTGTTGGGGAGGGGAATGATGTGAAGGGAACAGAGAACACTGCTATGGAGGGGGGGGAAGCAGAGGACACACTAGTTGGGGAGCGATGTGAAGGTGGACAAAGGACCCTGCTATGGGAGGCAGAGGAGTCTGCTATGGGGGGCAGAGGACATTATAGTGGGGGGTGATGTGAAGGGGGTGGGAAACTGCTAAGGGGAGGCAGAGGACACTAATGTGGGGGGAGGGGGGACACTACTGTGTGGGGAGGGGGGGGTGATGTGAAGGGGAGCAGAGGACACTACTGTAGATAGAAGGGGACACAGGACACTATGCTATGTTTTTATTGGGGGCTTCATATTTAATTTTTTAAGGGCATGCCCCCTTCTTTTGGGGATCTTTGATTTCCTCCATGTGATCCAGGTGGATCTCGACCTCTGAAAGGTTGCCTACCCCTGGTCTAGAGTTGCTATTTTCTCCTTGATAATAGTGGCTTCACAGTTGTGATGTGGAGGGAGAAACAAGGCTTAACAGGTACGAGGTACGCCCAACTCAATAGTTAGCACCCCATCAAGCTTGCCCACTGCACCAGTTTTTAATTTGTAGCTTGGATCTACTAAACTTTAGAAATTGCTGTGATGTGGAAGAAGAAACAAGGCGTAACTGGTACCTACGTCCAAGGTATTTTGTTAAAGATTTTTAAGGCATACTTCTTACACCCTAGGGCCATGATCTTAGTTCTGGAAATGTCACAATAAGCAACTGCATTGGGGAAAAGGGGTAAAGCCTGTGGTGGGCAGAGAGTAGAGACAAGCAGGAGAGCCAAGGAGGATCCTCACACGTCACAATGGACTAGCCAGACTGGACAGGCACACAGTATATTAGGCAGCAGTGATGTAGAAAACAAAAATAACAAATTACCTGCAACGGCTGGGTAGAAGTCTTTAAACTCTCTCATTTCAGAAACCCCCTCACAGCCCGTCAAGCAGTTGTTGTATGCTTTGTAATACAGAGGCAAAGCCTGCTCCATCTCTTCTGTGCTGCGCCTGAAATCTCCAGCATTGTACGACTTTACAGCCTTCACAAATATGCTCTGCGTTACAAAGGGGTTCCATCAAGACCAATACAGGCTTGCTTAATGTGTACACCTACCCAACTTTATTTATAAGCAAAAGATAAATATATACATATTTATATGGGCAGCACACTGGCTAAATGGTTAGTACTTCCACCTGGCAGTACTAGGGTCATTGGTTCAAATCCCAACCATGGCACCACCTGCCTGGAGGTTGCATGTTCTCCCTGTGCCTGCGTGGGTTTCCTCCGGGTACTCCGGTTTCCTCCCACACTCCAAAAGACATGCTGGTAGGTGAACTGGATCCTGTCTAAATTGGCCCTAGTATGTGTATGTATGAATGTAAGTTAGGGACCTTAGATTGTACTGATGTGAATGTACAATATATGTATGTAAAGCACTGCGTGAATTGACAGCGCTATATAAGTACCTGAAATAAATAAATAGTGTTTATCTCTCTCCATACATACCTATATACACACACACACATATATATATATATATCATATATACAGTATCTCACAGAAGTGAGTACACCCCTCACATTTTTGTAAATATATACATATCTATCTATCTCTCCATACATACCTATATATATATAACCTGTATACATCTGCATACATACATACAACATATATATATATATATATATATATATATATATATATATATAACCTGTATACATCTGCATACATACATACATACCTGTATACACCTGCATACATACATATATATATATATATATATATATATATATAACCTGTATACATATTTATAGTGTTTTCTATCTATCTCCATACATACCTATATATATATATAGCCTGTATACATCTGCATGCATACATACCTGTATACACCTGCATACATATATATATAACCTGTATACATATTTATAGTGTTTTCTATCTATCTCCATACATACCTATATATATATATATATATATATATATATATATATATATATATATATATATAAAACCTTTATACATCTGCATACATACCTGTATACACCTGCATATATATATATATATATATATATATATATATAACCTGTATACATATTTATAGTGTTTTCTATCTATCTATCTATCTATCTATCTATCTATCTATCTATCGCCATACATACCCCCCCCCCCCTCTCTCTCTCTCTATGTGTTTAGAGATGGATAGATATAAAACACTATAAATATGTATATATTTACAAAAATGTGAGGTGTGCACTCACTTCTGTGAGATACTGTATATATATATATATGTATATATATATATATTTATTTCAGGTACTTATATAGCGCCATCAATTTACTCCCCTGGTTCCCCCTCCTCATTGACTGCTACATTTTTAAATAAAATCTTTGTGTTGTCATTACATACTTTTTTTTTAGTCCCAGGATAGTAATTACTAGGTCCCTGTGTTTCTCTATGCAATGCGGGCATATTATAATTGGTGGTAGGATCTGACAGGGTGCTGTATATAGCTTCCTGAAAACATCACAGCACCCTGCCTCTATGCAAGAGCCCTCAGCCCTGATGCAAGGCCTTGACTGGCTCTTGGCTAAGTTATGCAGAAAAATTAAAAACGCCTTGATGGGTGGGTGTCAGTGTGAAAGGTCAGGTGATCCTAAGCAGGGTTCATTAGCATGTACTCTGCCCTCGGGGATGCTTACATGTTATGCTGAGCCTCTACGACTGACAGAACTAAAAATCTAATGAATGAAAGTGGTGGACCAATGGCAGCCCTGCTGGGGAGGAAAGTGCTGGATGATGTTGGACTTCCTTCAGCCAAGAAATGATCTGGACTTTGCTTGTTTAAACAATTTTCCTAATTTGTGCAAACTGAAAAAAAAATGTAACATGCTATTTAGCTCTTCCATATGCCGTGTCTCAGGGACTCAAGGAACGCAGTTGACTCACCTCGAAGGGCTGAGCCTCTAAATCGATGAGAAATTCCTCCACTTCCAGCAAGGTCCTGTAGTAGTTCATGTAGCGCAGCGTCATCTCATGGGTGGGGTTCTTCTGCAGAAACGTATGAGCAGCCGACACCGCCTTCTCCAGCTCATTGATCTAGAAGACATGGCAGACCTTATGATGTTATTTCTGTTTTTCTATTGTTTGTAGAATGTTGAGGAAAAAAAATGAATGTAATCAATTATGGAATACGGCTGTGACATAAAAATGTGCCAAAAGGTAATACTTTCTGGATGCCCTGTATACACTGCTCAAAAAAATGAAATGAGTATCGCATCAATACAATGAAACTCCTGGGATATTAAATCTGGTCAGGTAAGTAGCAGAGGGGGTTGTTAATCAGTTTCAGCTGCTTTGGTGTTAATGAAATTAACAACAGGTGCACTAGATGGGCAACAATGAGACAACCCCCAAAACAGGAATGGTTTTACAGGTGAAGGCCACTGACATTTTTTTTTTCCTACTCATCTTTTCTGACTGTTTTTCACTAGTTTTGCATTTGGCTAGGGTCAGTGTCACTACTGGTAGCATGAGGCCATACCTGGACCCTATAGAGGTTGCACAGGCAGTCCAACTCCTCCAGGATGGCACATCAATACGTGCCATTGCCAGAAGGTTTGCTGTGTCTCCCAGCACAATATCAAGAGCATGGAGGAGATTCCAGGAGACAGGCAGTTACTCTAGGAGAGCTGGACAGGACTGTAGAAGGTCCTTAACCCATTAGCAGGACCGGTATCTGCTCCTTTGTGCAAGGAGGAACAGGATGAGCACTGCCAGAGCCCTACAAAATGACCTCCAGCAGGCCACTGGTGTGAATGTCTCTGACCAAACAACCAGAAACAGACTTCATAAGGGTGGCTTGAGGGCCCGACATCCTCTAGTGGGCCCTGTGCTCACTGCCCGGCACCATAGAACTCGATTGGCATTCACCATTGAACCCCAGAATTGGCAGGTCTGCCACTGGCGCCCTGTGCTTTTTACAGATGAGAGCAGGTTCACCCTGAGCACATGTGACAGACGTGAAAGGGTCTGGAGAAGCCGTGGAGAACGTTCTGCTGCCTGTAACATGGTTCAGCATGACCGTTTTGGTGGTGGGTCAGTGATGGTCTGGAGAGACATATCCATGGACGGACGCACAGACCACTACAGGCTAGACAATGACACCCTGACTGCCATTAGGTATCGGGATGAGATCCTTGGACCCATTGTCAGACACTACGCTGGTGCAGTGGGTCCTGGGTTCCTCCTGGTGCATGACAATGCCCGGCCTCATGTTGTGAGAGTATGCAGGCAGTTCCTGGAGGGTGAAGGAATTGATACCATTGAATGGCCCCCACGCTCACCTGACCTAAATCCAATAGAACACCTCTGGGATATCATATCTCGGTCCACCCGACGCCGCCAGGTTGCACCTCAGACTGTCCAGGAGCTCAGTGATGCCCTGGTCCACATCTGGGAGGAAATCCCCCAGGACACCATCCGTCGTCTCATTATGAGCCCCCTCCGACGTTGTCAGGTATGCATACAAGCATGTGGGGGCCATACAAACTACTGAGGACCATTCTGAATGAAATTTCACCAATATGAACTAGCCTGCTGCATATTTTTTTAACTTTGATTGTCGGTCTTTGAATTCAGTCCTCTCTTGGTTGATAATTTTCATTTCCATCAAATGATGGGGCATCCTAACACATTACCCCGTCCATATCAGTATAGAGATCCAGCAGGAGATTTGTCCCCATTGAGATCTGATGTGTTTTCAAAGTGTTACTTTCATTTTTTTGAGTAGTATATATATATATATATATATATATATATATATATATATATATATATAAATCCCTTTATTCTCCTAAATGTTCCCCCAGCTGTAATGTATGATGTGCCGTCCAGATGGAAGTGACGGAGGTATAGCTCAGGTCTGTGTCTGGATATTACACGGCACAAATACTTGTGGGGGATGAAGTTGCCGTGTGCAGTCATTGCATGTCTGGAGACGTGGCAGCTCCCCCCTGATCTCCCCTGTGAAATGTGAACCGTACAGCCACAATACAATGAATGATTTAGAGGCAGGAGCAGGCCCACAACTACACACTTCCCCTGAAGGGGCACTGGAAATTCTCACTGGGCAAAACTCAGAAACTTTGAAAAACAAACAACATATTCCAAAGACTTTTCCTGATCTTTATTGACAGTCAAGAAAACAGACCTCCATCTCTAATACAGATGGTTCACTGTGACTTTTCCTATTATATAACATCCTCATTTATTATTACATTTTGTTGGTGGCGGTTAGGATAAGTTTAGACTTGTGTCTAAACCACCGCGCCTCTGAAAAGCGATCTGGGCTCGGATTGTTTTCCAGAAGCATTCAACAGAAGGCGAGGAAGCAATGTGGCCCCCCCTTACCGCATGTTTTAGCCCCACAATTGCTGCGCCAACACACCGCAGCCACCTGCATTGCAAAACAGATTCCCGATGATAAAAACTGATATTTTGCCGTTACTGGTATATCACATCCTCATTTATATGTATATATTTATATTATTTGGAACTTTTAGGCTAAGATTAAGATGTGTGTCTAAATCCCTGCCCCTCTGAAAAACAAACCATGTTCAGGACACTTCTCAGAGGTGTTGGACAAGTGGTGAGGAGGTAATGTGGTGCCACCATACCACTGTTTTAAACCCCCCCTAATTCCCACACCAACGTGACACAACCCAGTGCATTGACAGGAGTGATACTTTTTTTTTTTTTTGGGGGGGGGGGGGGCCTATTTTTTAACACCCTTCCAACCACAAGTCTAAATGAGCCCCTGTTATATAACATTTATTATACTCATTTATTATTATATAACATTCCCATTTGTTGTGACTGTTTATTTTATAACATCCTCATTTACTAGTAGATTTTTTTTTTGTCATATTATATAAAATCTTTGTTTCATATATTTTTTGCTGTGAGTTTTATTATATTATGTAAAATCTTCATTTATTATAATATCTTTTGCTGCAAGAATTATTATATTATGTAAAATCTTCATTTATTATATCTTTTGTTGCAAGTATTATTATATTATGTAAAATCTTAACTTATTATAATATCTTTTGCTGCAAGAATTATTATATTATTTAAAATCTTCATTTATTATAATATCTTTTGCTGCAAGAATTATTATATTATGTAAAATCTTCATTTAATATAATATCTTTTGCTGCAAGAATTATTATATTATGTAAAATCTTCATTTATTATAATATCTTTTGCTGAAAGTATTATTATATTATGTAAAATTATTATATTTTTTAATGTGAGTCTTATTACATTTATTATATTTTTTGCTGTGAGTCTTACTACATTTTGTAAAATCTTCATTTATTATATTATTTTTTTGCTGTGAGTATTTTTATATTTTGTAAAATCTTCATTTATTATATTTTTTTTGCTGTGAGTCTTTTTATATTATGTAAAATCTTCATTTAATATAATATTTTCTGTATCTGCCACCCCTCTCTGCCAATCCCTCCACTGGCTTCTCATTGCCCAACGGATAAAATTCAAAACATTAACAATAACATATAAAGCCATTTATAACTCTGCCCCAAATTACATCACCAATCTTGTCTCCAAATGTCACCCAAACTGTACTCTCTGCTCCTCGCAAGACCTCCTACGCTCTAGCTCCCTCCCTTGTCTCCTCCTCCCATGCTCGTCTCCAGGACTTCACCAGAGCTTCCCCCATCCTCTGGAACTCTCTACCCCAATTTATCAGACTATTGCCTACTCTGCTCACTTTTAGGCAATTTCTGAAAATTTATCTCTTCAGGGAGGCCTATCCTGCCCTCAGCTAATAACGGAATCTTCTACTCTTCCAACCAGTCCATCCTCCACAGTTACTACCTTTTGTACCACTAGCCCCTCCCTCTTAGATTGTAAGCTCCAAGGAGCAGGGCCTGGAGGAAAAGTGTCTGGAGGAAAAGCGCCTGGACGAGCAGAAAAAGTCAGGAGGGGAAACGTCAGGAGGGAAATAGATGGGAAGATGTCTGAGGGTGTAGGCTGATGAGCAGCGGTCATCTCTTACCATGTCCGCGTACGCCATGATGTCACGTCTACTTAGATCGAAGGTGAAAAGCAGCTTTTCAGAGTGGCTAAGCAGGCACCATGCTTACACGGGGCTTACCAGTTTCGCACCGCTGTACCCATGGTTTTTGCATGATTGAACTGTATTGTTGCTGTATTGTCTCCTGTTATATTGTAAAGTGCTGAGCAAACTGTTGGCGCTATATAAATCCTGTATAATAATAATAATAATTATTATTTTTGCTGGAAGTATTATTATATTATATAAAATCTTCATTCATTTCAATATTTTTTGCTGTGAGTCTTAATATTTTATATAAAATCTTCATTCATTTCAATATTTTTTGCTGTGAGTCTTATTATATTATGTAAAATCTTCATTTAATATAATATTATTTGCTGTAAGTATTATTATATTATATATAATCTTCATTTATTATAATATTTTTTGCTGTGAGACTTATTATATTATGTCAAATCTTCATTTATTATATTTTTTATGTGAGTCTTACATTTATTGTAACATTTTTTTTGCTGTGAGTCTTTTGTAAAATCTTCATTTATTATTATAATATTTTTGCTGTGAGTCGTAATACATTTATTATAATATTTTTTGTTGTGACTTATTATATTATGTAAAATCTTCATTTAATATATTATTTTTTGCTATGAGTCTTATTATATTATGTACAATTTTTATTTATTATATTATCTTTTGCTTCAAGTTTTAATATATTATGTAAAATGTTCATTTATTATATTTTTTATGTGAGTCTTATTACATTTATTATAATATTGTTTGCTGTGAGCCTTATGTAAAATCTTCATTTATTATAAGATTTTTTGCTGTGAGTCTTATTACATTCAGTATAATATTTTTTGCTGTGAGTCTTATATTATGTAAAATCTTCAATTATGATATTTGTTGCTGTGAGTCTTATATTTATATTATATAAAATCTTCATTTATTTGTAATATTGTTTGCTGTGAGTCTTATTTATATTATATAACATTTT